AATCAATTTCCCTGTCAACAGTACCCTAGCTTCTGTCTCAGTTATTGTTAAGGAAGAATCAATGTTTTTAGCATTGATTCTTCCAAAGGAGCTGGGCCGGATACAATACCTCATTTTTTATCAAAATTCGCATAAATGAAATCAGTTTGCCACTCTGCATACTTTTTGATCAATCACACAGTTCGGTAATATTCCCTGACCGATGGAAGACGGCTCACATAGTGCCTATTTTCAAAAGTGGAATTAGCTCTATAGACAGACAGTATTAGACAGTATACTGATATGTCTGTAGTTTTCGCAAATAGCTCTATATGCGAAAACTACAGACCTCTCAGTATACTATCTTGTTGCGCGAAATTTTTCGAATTTGTTGGTTCTGAGCTCATTTATATTCATATTAAACCTCTTTTGTCGACCACACAACACGGTTATGTTAAAAATAAACCTACAATCACCAACTTAGTAGAATATAAAAACCATTTATGTTGTGCTTTTGCTAAAAATGTTCAGTTAGATTCTATCAATAATGACTTCCCTAAGGCTTTCGACAAGTTTGACTATTTTCTCCTTTGTCGAAAAATTTGACAAATGGGTATACATGGCTCGCTGTTTCGGTAAGTCAAATCGTATTTGTCTCGAAAGAGTTAGCTGATGGCTTTCAGGGGTGAACTATCCAACATAGTTGTCGTTAGATCAGGTGTCCCACAAAGGTTGATTCTCGGCCCTTTACTGTTCATTGCCTTTATAAACGACCTCGTTGCGCAATTGAAATGTCCCTGCTTACTATATACGGACGATTCAAAAATTTTCTCCGAAGTGGCTACCTTCGAAGATGCTGAAACAATACAAATGGATATCGAAACCGTGGCGAGATTGTGTACCGACAATCACATGTATTTAAATATTAATAAATATTTTGTACCTATTTTCCTTTATTAGAAAAAGAAATAAAGTTAACTTTAAATATACTCTCTATGGCCAAAAACTTAACAGGCAGAGTCAAACTAATGATTTGGTTGTAATATTCGATGATAAATTAATTTTTCGCGATCATTACAATTATAATCTTTTGAGGGGTGGTAAAATGCTGGATTTTGTCCTGCGAAACTCTAAGCAGCTTAAAAATCCAAAGTATATCTGTATAATTCACTTGTCCGGAGTGTTCTTGAATGTGGTGCAGTCATTTGGTCTCCGTTTTACGCCGTACATATTGACTGCATTTAGAGCATGCAAAAAATATTCTTAAAATTTCTCTTTTCGTCATTGTTACCATTGACATGCTAGGATTGATTCTTCATCTCTGCTTGCGTCAATTGCGATGCCCGTGACCGCAAGCCTTAACTGTTTTCACTCCGTGTACTGTAACAACACATCATATTACAACCCAGTGGTTAGGACGTTCGCTACTACAGTGATATATCCCAGGACCATCCAAATATTGATATTATAAATAGATAATTTCAAATCTAAATGTCTTCAATAGATCTATCCGTGATATTCTGAAATAACTGAAATATTTGGTATCATCTGTTTTATGTTTCCACTTACATTTGTTCTAGCTTCAAATATGTAACAGGCCTCTTGTAATCTGCCGGATTGTTGATTGCAAAACCACTGTTTATTAAATGATTTATAACTTTAGCAGATGTAACAATTTACTTCAGAAACACATGTTTTGACTTACAGTTTAGTACTTAATCATTTCATTTTAAGAAACCTTTATCTCCAAAACTGTAAACTGTATTGTGTTAATAAATAAAGAAAAAAAGAAACTCTTAGAAAAATATAATATTTTGCATATAATCTTATATTTCTGCAACAAGCTGTCTACAATTTAGAAGGAAACTAATCTTTGAAAGGCTTTGATTTTTTTTGACATAAATTAGCATTAAATCAAGTCTGCGAGCAATGATAATGTTAACATACTACTGACTTAAATAATAGAATCACTGTAAAACAAATGTAGTATAAATTCAGTTTTAGGACTTTAAAGACGTTTTTATAAAAATCGTACTATTGCTTTCCAATATACTATATTGAACTGCAGTTAGTATCACAGCGGTTACCATCACAATGGCTTGCAGTAGAAAGTTATTGCAAATATCAAGGAACTGTGCACAGTGGTCAGTTACACTTACTTATGCTTTGTTTTTTTTATCATATCTGTGAATTTCTGTTAGAAGCAAGAGCAACAAACGAGCACGTATTCTACGATATATAAGAGCGAAACGTCTGGTGGCCCAATTATATATTTGTTCATTTTTGTCAACAAGCTACAATAACTCGCAGAGAGAAAATTGAAAAAAAAAAGATAAAAGGGAGCAAATGAGTACACTTCTATTTCTAAAAAAAGATAGTCAGTGTTTTTAGTTATCTTACGTATATATCATCTTTACCAGCCAGTATTTATTTTTTAATATTCCAAAGAGTTTGTAGCCAATTCTCACTTTTCATTGAACGCATCTCGTTCAAAATAATAGATATGGTATTAGTACATATATAATATTATAATTATATTGCGTAACTTATATTATATTGTTTGTATGACTTAATTTTTTTGCTTGCTTCATTTTTTGTTTTAAAAGTTATCTCCATACTTAGGTTTCCATCAGAGCTGTGAAAGTATTTTACAACATGGACTGGACAAAGGCAAATCCGGAGCACAAAGGCTAATGTTTTAATCCGGGGCATAAAGACCAATATTCGAATCCAGAACGATTATTGGTAGTAAACTTTTCTTTTTACTTAGCCTATAAAAGACGAATGCTCCTGAAAATTTTACTGATGTGAGCCTTGGCGTTCTAAAAATGATTTAATCATTCCGATTGTACCAAACCTTTCGCACTTTTAACGCTGCTGCGTTTCACCGGTCTGGTGCTTTATATCACATCTATAGTAAAGGGATGGTTATATCGCCATCTATCGACAGCCCATTCTTACGACACCCAAGGAACGAAATTCTTTCAGAAGCAGAATCCTTTGCGCTCAACGGATTATCTTGCGCCAGAACAGAAATACCAATTTATTTAATAACTTAACATGCAAATAAATATATTTAATAATATTTACAGGGCACCCGTTCAAAAAGCACCGACAACTATTTCGCCAAAATTTTTATCTGAATTCAAAAGTTTGTATACCAGACTCATCGACACAGCGATGGCTCGTAACAAATATATAAACGACACACTTGTGAAGGACCGAATTAAAAAGGTACTGTAAACATTGTTTCTTACATATCCTAATTGCTATAGGCATTTTCTATTAATATTTCCATGAAGTGGTAAAAATTTGACGTAAGTGTAGCAATTCAAAAAATCTTTCAAAAAAGACTCGAAACAAAAACCTGTTTCAAAACAAATGAGGTTATCAACTGCAATCCGATATCCCGGCAAATATTACTGTGATTCAGTTTGCAGTCAATTACATTTAAATTTTTTGTGACAATAATACGTATACGTATAGTAATAATAATAATAATACGTACGTACGTACGTATAAACATGTATCTCTAATACTTAAATTTAGATTTAACATAAAGAGCAATGGCAGAAAAATAGTTGACAAAAATTATTACGTCTAGAAATAAGTTATATATAAAATGAGTTTTGTTATTTTCTATGATTTATAAAATAAAAATGTATTTTAATGAAAGCCACAGAAAAAAACAAACATTTAAGGGAATATCAAATGACTGAAATGAAGTGTTGCCGCTTAATGACTACCAACACAATACACAAACACAAAATATTTTTATATTAAGTTATTATTAGTAATAACTATACTATCAGAAATAATAAAAGTAAAAGTGATATGGTTGAAAATAAGTCTCTTACAAAGAACTTTCTAGAATAATACTTTATGTCAATCATAGTAATATGTAACTATTCCATTTAATGTTATGGCAACACCAGCTAAAAAAAAATGTCATTGTTTTTTTTACTGGCTTTACGGCTCTGGGTCCTAGCCCTTCTGGAAATGTCTCTGTATGACAAATGCCCTGGAGCCATGCCCGAAATATACATTTATAGTATGCAAATATATAATAGAGATACAATAATCTAAAAACTCTTAATTATGCAGGTAGGTACATTATGTTGATAATGTATTAAGCTAAAATCATACAACCACAGGAAGCATGACTTTTTCCAAGTGACATAAGACATAACCCAAAAAGATTGAAATCTAAATAACTTTATTTGACGCCTTCTCAGGACAAAATTCTTTGACAGAGTTATTAAGGGACTGACGCTTAACATTTTAAGATATTTTTGATTTAATAGACCATTCCTTCACAACTAATTTTATGTATGAAAGTCTGCCATTGTTCTTTAGCAATTTAAAAATAGTTCGCTTATTTTTTCTACTACCTACAATTTTTTCAAATATACGTTCATCTCATAAACTTAAAACCTTATTAACTTGGTTAATTTTGACCGGAAAAAATCATAAAACCTTTTTTATGTAAAATTTTATGCTCTACACATTTTTATGAGAAGCTTTTTGTCTCAATTTTATCTTTTTTGAGTAATTGCGGAAAAAACACAGACAAGAAAACTTTTAGACATTATTTTTGTACAATCAAAACTACATTATGTTTATCAAAAATGCAAAATTGAGTGCCAAATTTTTAACTTCAGAGCTTATTTGAATGGACTAACTGGCCGAGCCGGCTTAGAGCAGTTTATCTCTGTACGTGTAGAGATGCCAGTGCTCACGCAGACACGCGCCTCAAGCTTATAGTAGTGTACTTAACATAGCGCGGTTGTATGAAGCTTTGCCTCTCATCGGTTTCTTTACTCATGTGATATTACCCTCTTCCAAACATCTCAATATTCTGAAATTTTGTAGACGTATTAGAAACCCATGTCAACGCAATAATTTCATGAAAATGACCTAGTGTTCTCACCATCTACTCATCTCATGATCAATGCATGTTATTTAATTTTTTTAAACTCTAATATTTAATTTTTATACACTAATAACAACACTTGCAACAGGTTTCAGAATACAATCCCTTAAATAAGTTACCTATTCAAGGAGAGTTCCTGCTATATATTTACGAGTTAATGGAAAAACCGGACAATATAAATGATAAAATGAAACATCAAGCTTATACATTAGCTTCTTTGATAGAAACGGTAAGGTTGAGGTACCAAATAAATCTAATATTAGTAATAATTAAATTTTATAAAAAAGAATATGTTATCCATCTGCTAGGACCTGCAAAAATGAACTCAAGAACTGTCATGTCTTATTGAGATTTCTTATTGAGAGGACGATGGCGTAATCGGCAGGCGGTACGGGGAACAGGAGTGGAAGCGTATTCTGAGCGAGATTCTAGTTAATTTCTGCGTGTTGTACACCTACTACTTCTACGCCGTAATCAATTATCAACCATATGATCAACCATTTTATAAAAATCTTTAGTAAGAAGAAACATGATTAAAATGAATTGAGTCAATTTAAGATTAAGATGAAATTGAGCCATTTCTTCTTAATCTATTTTCATCATCATCAGATTGTTAAAGAATATGGGCCTTTCCCACTGTAAAAAGAATTTGCCCTAATCGTTCTGTAGCTATCCAGATGTTTGCATCTTTTACGCCGTTCACCGTTAGGGTTTTATTACGCCTGGCTTTAACGAGATGTAATGATTTCTTATATTTACGCGAAGACTAGGTACATATTAAATGAAACTATTTTTTTACGGATTTCATCAAATTTAATTCAACTTTTTAATTCGCGACGTTTCGGGTGCTTTACAGTGCCCATGGTTACGGCGAGGACTGATGTGTTTGACGTCCCGATGTCATAGTTAGCCCGAATACCTTCAGTTTTTGTATATTAATTTTTAGTCCGATCTAAGCAGAATGAGCTTACAGTATCTTGAATTCTTGAAGTGGTATGCTTGGTTTTGGATTTAATTTTATTAATTATAGGATCCCAAGCCATTCATATTCTCTATTGAAATTAGGATGTTTTTTTTTAAATTTCAATAGCCTCGCGAATTATCCTTGGTAGAAATCGGTGTTCTTTTACGAGGATTTGTGGTCTGTCAAATGTAATACACCTCAGTTACAACCACCTCAGTCCCCCCCCCCCCGTGACTATGGCTGCTGTAAAGCACCCGAAACGTCGGGAGTTAAAAAGTTAAATTAAACGCGATAAAATCCGTAAAAATTAGTTTCCTTTAATGTTAACGAGACGGTTATAAAAGCCACAACATCTTTTGGATAAATCCAATAGTCGCCGCTTACGACACGCATAGGTTGAAGTGAAGAAAATCCACCATTCATCAGTATGGTGGATTTTCTTATGTGTCAAGCATCCAATGATGGAGCAAAAAGTATAACAAGATACTAGGTGGTTGATCTGAACTGAACTGATCAAATACAGTTTAACATTGCAGATTCAAGCGTACTTTATAGTTCAGGATGACGTTATGGACAGTGCCAAAATGCGATGCAAAATGCCGTGTTGGCATTTACTACCTGACGTAAGACATATATGCATAAATGACCTCACCTTAATGCGACACTTTGCAAATGAAATGTTAAGGCAAAATATAGATGAATCCATTTACAACAAATTAGCCGATATTTTCAATGAGGTGAGAAAGAATCTACTTTATAGTATGCACCTAATTGTTTACTTTTAAGATTTTTTTTGAATCCAGTTTTCGACATAGAAATAATTTCAAAGATCCATGAAATGCTCACTCTGCCACTTGAAGGCCATATGGGATGGGAACTGAACATTGAAGGCACAAGATTCTGGCCTAAATAGAGCCATATTAGAATCGGAAAGGATAAGAAGAGTACTGTATATTAAACTCCGTTTTCCCACAATTCAAACTAAAATGCAGACAGACCATTACTTCCGCCGTAGTCAATCAACTGAGGCTAAGTATATACTCAGTAGCTTATATTATTTATAAGCCCTATTTAAATTCACATATGTTCAGTGCATCATATCGTTCATCAAAACATCAGGAGCATCCTGATAACAAATAAAAAATAATAAATGTCGTTTGCCAACACCCTACTAGCTACGACGATCGGCAAATATCTCCTTTCTATGAGTAATCTATGTTCAGTAGAGAAATTTTGATAGGTTTTAGCGCTAACGTAAGTAATATTTAAAATATTGTTACAGATGTATATGCAAATAGAAATAGCACAACAAAGGGATATAGCCCTTCAAAAGTCAAAAGACTACTCGAAGTTCACAATGGACACCTATAATCTTACACAAACTTTTAAGGCATCGTACTACTGTATTACTTCAACTATTTATATGGCCCTGATATTATGTAACAAAGCTACTGAGGAATCATTTCAGCTTGTAGACGATATATGTAATGATGTTGGGATAGTCTTTCAGATTCATGTAAGTTATTTAATTTTGTCTTATTAAAGTGAAGTAGGTAGATGTTGTCACCATCATTCCTGATAATTTAAAATGATGACGTGTAATCCTGTAAAATTATTATTATCATGTAACAGTTTTGCCAAGCAAATTATTAATATGGGAAGAATTTTAGAAAAACAACATACGTCTAACTTCAAGTATTGTCTCGGCAGACACTGGCCGAGGCAGCCGCAAGCTAGGGCGAGCGGGGAACTCAATTTTCATAAAATTATAGTAAAAATAAATTTGTAGTGTGTTTACAACATTGTCTATCAAATTACAAGCCTTTTCATTTGATATAAGTTTTATACGGTTTCGTAGTGGAATGTCAATCAATCAATCTTTATTTGCCAACCAAGTGTACATAAATGGTCTTATAATAATAACAATTTGTCTCAACTTAGTAGCCTTTTTCAGGAATTGCAAATTTGAGAAAGGAGATAAAATAAGTTATTACTTATTAAATACAAACATTATAGATTAATTAGATTAATGCATTAATAATACAGTCTAATTATATAACCGCCTTTTTCTTTTTTATGTATTTTTGTTGACTTAATATTTAGGTATATTAGTTCTGTTATTTGTGTAAAAGATATGTAATTTGTTATTCATGTTTTGCTTCAATGTATTCTTTATCTTTGTCATTTTTCTGTTAAGAATGCTTTTAGTTTTTTTAATGAAAAGTATAATCTTATTTTTAGTTTTTATGAGGATAGGTAATTTATTGTATATTTTTATAGCCATGTAGTATTGACTCTGGGTTAGCATTTCAGTTCTTGATGGTGGTAGATGTAGTCCGTCTCTGTGACGTGTCTTTAAATTGTGATTGTCTTTTACTTTTATTAAGTGATTTATGTTCTTTTTTTATATAGGATAGGGTGACAAAAGAGCATATAGTGTACCTGATGGTAAGTGGTTGCTGTGAGCTGTGACCCATAGACATCTACATATTATATTCTCAATAAAGAATTAAAATGCAGATGCGTTGTCGCCCGTGAGGACTAAGATGGAGTGCCTCTTTTCCAGTAAAAATAGTCTCCGGTTCTCTACACTCACCATACGAAACACAGCAGTGCTAAGCTGCTATTTTAAGCTGGTATTCTTGAATACAAATATGCAAATAACAAATATTTATGATGATGGTTGTTACGGCCCTCAGTTGCCCCGACAAAGGTCGACTAGGCTAGGGCCCATCAGTAGCTCAATCGACGAGCAACCAGAGGGTTCGTGCCCAAGTGGCCTATGGATGATTATTAACTAGTGGCTAATAAGCAAGCACAAACTTACCGAGTTCCGAAAGTAGTATAGACCACACGGCGCAGTCAGGTGGTAAGTAAGGTGCTTGTAAGTAGTGTGCGAGAGTGTGTAGATGTAACCTGACGTCACCGATGTAATCCGAGAGCAGACCCACAGGCGCTGCTTTTCTTCACAATGTGCGATCCCTCCAGAAGGCGTTCACCAATGGAGACCTTCTGCTTTTATTTCACTATATTAGTTTATCAACTTTATTGTACATTTAATTAACTTCAAATTTAACTAGATCAACGTTAATCGAACTTAAAACAAGTGACACACTGCACAACTTAAGAAAGGTCGGTCAAAGTTCAATGTTCCATGTTCACTTAGCACAAAATTATAACCACGAGCACGAACGCGATCTATTCTCGAGTCACAAAGTTTTAGCGTTCCACCCGACAAAGCAATATTCCTTCGTACGATATTAAAATGCCACAAAAGCAACTCGTCGACGCAAATTAATGGTAATCGAAGTTAAGTTAATCACTCAAAACTATTACAACAAAAATAATAATAAGACAAGCCTCGTTATCACGCAAAACGCACGAGATTAGACAACGCTATCAGGGGCGGTTACGAGCATAAAATTCCAGGCCGTCTAACCGCCACGGCGGATGCGCACAATCAACCAACAATTTAGTCTCGCCGGCCTCCACCCGGTGAGACGCGCGTGGAGAAGGGTGCCAGCCGGTGACTGGTACCATCGAATGAACGCGCCGAGCGCGCGTCTTGAATGCAAGTTTTTAAAATGTTAATATTTAGCCTAAACAAACCCCCGTCCCGGGCATAAGGACATGTCCGCGAATAAATTTGCAAACGGGATAGCGTCGCAACGGCACGTTGCAAGACCGAATCTCCAACTAAAACCTCGGCCGCCCTAGATACCCCATCGGATCCATACGACAACTTAACAATGTGCCCACGGCACCAATACAAAGGCAAAGCGTTAGGTTCTTTAACTAACACGAGGTCTCCAACCCGAGGAGGATCCGTCTTGTCAGACCACTTAACGCGCTGCTGCAAAAAATGTAGGTACTCCAGAGACCATCGGTGCCAAAAACTCTGAGTCATTTGTTGCATCAGTTCAAATCTGCTCAACCGCGAAGAGTGTATTTCCCTGAAGGGGTAACAGGGCGTTAAGTGGCTGACCAAGTGGAAGGAACAGGAAGTGGCCCGGGGTTAGAACCTCAAAATCATTCGGATCGGACTAGAGGGGACAGAGGGGCCGAGAGTTGAGTACCGCCTCAATTTTACAGAATACAGTGGCAAGCTCCTCAAATGTCAAAATAGTTTCGACAATAACGCGACGAAGATGCGTTTTTGCAACCTTAACCACCGCCTCCAAAATACCGCCCCAGTGTGGGCAACCCGGGGGGGGGTCGAATTTCCACTGGATGCCCTTCTTGGACATCGCAGTACCTAAATAAGTCCTGTTGCTGGACAGAAATTTGACGAACTCTTTCAAATATCTATCCGTGCCCTTATAATTCGTTCCGCAATCAGACCGGATCAGGTCCGGCAAACCGCGACACGATACGAAGCGGCCCAGCGTAGCCACAAAGGCTTCAATACTGAGGGCACTTACGAGTTCTAAGTGAACGGCCTTAGTGGCGAGGCACACGAAAACACAGATAGGCCTAATGTGAACGCGCATTACGAAGTTTGGAGGACTTGATGAGGAAGGGGCCAGAAAAGTCTGTTACGATTCCAGAGAATGGTTGGATGGCCCTGACGTGGTCGGGTGGTAAGTCAACCATCATAGGCTGCGATATGGTAGCCTTAAGTTTACAACAAGGTATGCATTTAAAGAGGACGCTCCGAATGGTGCGTCGGCCAGCCAAAATCCAAAACTCCCGCTGCAAAATAGCTGAAAGAGCGTTACACCCAGCGTGGGCATTCCTAACATGATGGTGAGTTACCAGCAACCGAACAAGGGCGCCGTCCTTAGGAAGCAGTAACGAGTGTCGAGCCCCGTACGGCAGTTGAGAATTTTTCAAATGTCCGCCAACGCGCAGCTACCCTGAGTTGTCCAGGAAGAGGTTCAGACGGACCAGAGCTTCACGACGCTCGCTAGGGGATAAAACGTAATCAGAGATTCAGTTGGACGGGTCTCTCGAATTGCGGACAAATCGATGCAACCAAGCAGTCACTCCTAAGAGCTTATCGAGAGAGCTGTACCGTTCTAGCAGGGAGAAGTCCCGAGTGGGCTTATCCTTGCCCACTCCTACTCGGGCTCTTAGGCCAGGCAATTCAATCGGTTCAGAGTATTTATTCTGGGGCCAGAATGACTGAGACTAAGTCAACCAACTGGGACCCCACCACAGCGGGTGGTCAACCAAAGAGGGGGCTTCACAGCCGCGAGAAGCGCAGTCTGCGGGATTCAACTCCCCTGGGACATGTCTTCAATTTAGAGACGTCCCAGAATTCTGGATTTGAGACACGCGGTTTGCCACAAAGACCTCAAGATAGTGAGGTGCAGCCCTGAGCCAACAAAGTACTATCTCACTGTCCGACCACGCGTAGACGTCCGTAATGTCGATTACAGACTTCAGAGACGAGTGAACGTGGTTAAGGAGTCGCGTGACAAGAGCGGCTCCGGACAGTTCCAATTTAGGGATAGTTAAGCGGGACCTAATGGGAGCAACCTTGCTTTTAGGAAGTACGAGATGGACGGAAGTTTGGCCAGAAGAGCTCACAGTTCGCAAATATACGACAGCAGCATAGCCTTTCTCAGAGGCGTCGCAAAATCCATGTAGGGTAGCCCTGCATTTCCCTGGAGGGAGGAAGCACCTTGGCATGGAGAAGCGGTTGATATCCGGAAGGGAGGACACAATGGATAGCCACTCTCGCAAGAGAGTACCATTAATAAGCTCGTCCTAACCCAACCCGGATATCCAGAGCTTTTGAAGAAAGCACTTAGCCAATAAAATGACCGGAGTGATCCATACATTAGGATCGAAGGTGCGGGCTACTGTAGACAGCACGGAGCGCTTGGCCCATGCTTTAGGAGAGGGATCGAGTTTGACTCGATACGTGAAAGTATCCTGAACAGGCTGATATTGAATGCCCAGCACAGTCAACGTTTTAGGATTTTCAGGGTGAGGGTCTTGTTGATACTCTCCTGGGAGGTCCTTCAAAATATGAGGGGAGTTCGACAACCATTTGCGCAACTCATAACCTCCGGACTTCAGAATGGCAATCAATTCGTCTCGCAATACAAGAGCCTCCTCGATGGTTGAGGCGCCCGTGCAAATGTCGTCCATGTAGACCGAAGTCTCCAATATAGAAGCCCCCCGAGCGTATCTTAGACGCTCTCTCTCAGCGAGTTCAAGGAGGGTTCGCATGGTGATATACGGGTTGGACCGGAGTCCATTGGTGGTGGTGTTCAACTCAAGCACCTGTATCGGATCGCTGGGCTTCTCGCGTCACAATATCAGCTGATATCGACGGTCATCACGATGGACCACTGATTGTCAAAACATCATCCGAATATCGGCTACAAAAACCACTTTGTGCCGACGGAAGTAAGTCAAAATGTCGGATATGTCCTTGATCAATTTAGGACCATAGTGGAGACACTGGTTCAGGGACACACCATTTAACGAGGGGGCGGAGCCGTCAAAAACTAAACCGGGGTCTTGAGGACAAGACCGCATGGTGAGGGAGGAAGTAGTGCTCCT